TAGTTTGGATTTGTGTGCTTAGGTGATCAAGCGAGAGCCTGGATCTCTGGGAGCGAGATGCTGGTCTCTCTATGGTCGATGTTACCTGCGTCACTTCAATGAGTTGGACCATGAGCTCATGTCACGCCTCAGCAAAGGGTACAAGGTCAGTGTACAAGCTTATCTCCTGCCAACAATTGATGCTCTTAAGTTGCTTGTCCTCTGAAACCTAGTTTTAAAATTGAAAAATTTCTTAACACTGACTTATTATTTTACTTTAAATAAATACAAAGAACATGTCTGTACGTGTTCACTTAACACGGTTTTGTAACAATATGCTTATACTGATGCTTCTCATCCATTACCTGTGCAGTTAATAATTAATTCTGTATCCTTCTTTTTCTCATCCTCTTCCTTTGTTCCTGTTTCCCTCAGGCCGCATCCAAGTATATGAACTGTTTCCTCTCACCACTGCTGACGGTGGTTGCCAAAAATGTAGCGTTTTTTGCCGGGTCCCTTCTGGCTGTCCTCATCGCCCTGACTATCTATGATGAAGATGTTCTTGCTGTGGAACATGTTCTCTCATCCATCACACTGCTTGGAGTGTGTATCACAGTCTGCAGGTAGGCATTGGTGTCACAAAGTTAATCTGTCTCTTATCCTAATGTATCTTAATACACATGTGCATAGTTTATTTAATGGCTTTAACTAAAAATATAATAGATATAATTAGTTTGGATAACACAACAAATCCCAAAAGGCTTATTTACATTGTGAATAAATTGTATAAACAGCTAAAAGACATCACTAGATCACTATAAATTGCCTGAAAATTATTACCTTTGTCACTATGAAAAGTATTTGAAATGACGAACATCAGGTACAAATTTAAAACATGAATATTATACACAAATCTTCAACACTGGGCAATGTAAGGGTTGTTAACTGTGAGCCAATTTCTTCATTGCCCTTTTAAAGTTACCCAGAATTGTAATCCGCAGCTTATTCTGCTGTATAACTGATGAGTATAAGAAGGTTTCTTTACTTAAGTAGCTCTCGACTATTTGAAGTCTACTGATAGCTCTAAATTGAAAGAATTACATATTGGAAAATCCAGTTCTATCTATATAATTTACTCTTGTACCTTCAACCATTTAAAGAAACTCAAGAATCCATAAGAAAGGTAGATTCTGAACTTTAAAATAAATAAGATTATAAGATTAAGATGAAGACTTAAGTTCTTTTCCACCACTTCTCTCTTCAGATCATTTATTCCTGATAAGCACATGGTGTTTTGTCCTGAGCAGCTGTTACGGGTTATCCTGGCTCATATCCATTACATGCCTGACCACTGGCAGGGCAATGCACATAGATATGAGACCCGAGACCAGTTCTCCCAGCTCTTCCAGTACAAAGCAGTGAGTATGAATACTGAACTGGGAATAAATATCGAGACTCAAAACTGTGTTATAGGGCTTTTCCATGGCAGATATTTTAATATGTTAGAGCACAAGAATAGTGTGTAATTACTTAACATGAATGATGGGTGTATTCCATTTATATATGCCAGTTTCAGGAGACTGCTAGTGTGCAAGCTGACTCATGAACATCGCCTTCTGGGACAGTTCTAAATGCATCCAAGCTATCATTAATGTTATTAATTACACCTGTGCTGCTTCTACTAAGACAATTCAAAATGCCAGCTGTTAAAAAGACCTATAGTTATTTTGTCAAACCTACTGTGAATATCTATTTCTATCTCACTGTTTTTTTCCTAGAGAATTTTATCTGAGTATACACAGCTTCTTTTGTCTAATGCTCATTCAGTTATTTGCATTTGTATCTCGGAGAGACCAGTAAAACGAGTGTACAGTATTAAACTTTCCCCATTGTTTTCTTCCAGGTGTTTATTCTAGAAGAGCTGATAAGTCCAGTGGTGACTCCCATCATCCTCATCTTCTGTCTGAGGAGGAAGTCTCTAGAGATCATTGATTTCTTCAGGAACTTCACTGTGGAGGTGGTCGGGGTCGGAGACACTTGCTCCTTTGCCCAGATGGACATCAGACAGCATGGACACCCTGCGGTGAGCAACGGCCACATTAAGTGCAGCCACATAGGGATACACAGATGAAGACACCCTTAAAAAATATCTAAAAAAAGTACTGTGACAGGCATTAGATTAATTAATTCAAATGTGAAGGGAAAGTGAAATCTGTGTGTACATCTGTGGGTTGAGCCCTTTTTCCTCTCTCTGTAGTGGATGTCAGAAGGGAAGACAGAGGCGTCTATCTACCAACAAGCAGAGGATGGGAAGACAGAGTTATCTCTGATGCACTTTGCCATCACCAACCCTCAGTGGCAGCCTCCTCAGGAGACCACACACTTCATCAGCCAGCTGAAAGAACGAGTTCACAGAGAGGCTACAGGGGCTTCAGACACACACCCACTCTCACTGTCTGAGTCTGAGGTACAATGATAAACTAGCATGCTCAAATATCACAGTGGTCCTAAGTTAAATTACATTACATCTTCAGAGGTAAAAACAAATTTAGACTCTTGTCTCTTGCCCTTTCTCTCTCTCGTAGCCAAGGAGCCTCATTGCAAACCACTTGGGAGGTCCATCTACCCTGAACTCCGTTCATTTCGGGAGAGACAGCTCTTTGACCAATAATGCAGCAGCTGGTTTAAGCGATGGGGCATCTGCCTTACGCTCCCTTTCCCCAATCAGCAGCAGTCTTCACCTGAGAGGCAGTTTGAGTGCAGCTCACAGGGCTGGCCAAACTTCAGCCATGAGCAAAGCAATGGCAAGCTCTGGGTAGGAAAATTCTCCTTTTGCCTCAGCACAGTTCCTTTTCAGGCTAGATAATGAATATTTACTGAGCTGTTGGATAAAAACTCATAGCACAAAGTGCAAATGTAGGATACCACATTTGCAAGAGCTTTGTCATGAATAACCTAGCTTGAAACAATTTTTATTTAGTATTCTCCGTTCTTTTTTTTCATCTTCTTATCCGTATCACATCCTCTTCATGTCCTCATTTTCTCCACATTTTTTGATTCTCTTTCTGTAGGACGGATGCCCGGACTGTGAGCTCAGGCAGCAGTGCATGGGAGGGTCAACTCACCAGTCTGGTCCTGTCAGAGTATGCCTCTACTGAGATGAGCATCCATGCTCTCTACATGCATGAGGTACTTGTGTGTGAGTATGTGTGGGGAGAGAGTAGAGGACAAGTGCAGCGTGTTCCCACATTTGTCTTCTTATCCTGAATATCTCACAGACCTTCATCTATTCTTCCTCCTATCTATTTTTGTCCTTGTAGCTACACAAGCAGCAGTCCCGTGGCGAGCTATCCCGCCACACGTGGCACCGGCAGGAGAGTGACGAGAGCAGCGACAGCGTCCCCGATGAAGTGAGAAGCGAACCCAACCCTCACTCCAGAAATTTCCCTCGCTCACACACTTTCCCCACCACAGTTCCCAGTCCCAGTGCCATTCCCACTTCAGCTTCAGCCACCAGCAGTACCATGCTGGGCCAGGAGGGGGCATCATCACAAAGCAGCACCCAGCGACGCTATAGTGGACCTGCCACAGGTACACATATTTTTATATCTCTCTATGTTTCACACCACATGCATTTAAATAGAATCGTATTTAATGATCCAGTCGGACTTTGAACAGCATAATAATAATAATTTCCACTGCTGTTGCATCAAGTCCTTACTTTTCATTGTAGTTCTGCACTCCTTGCAGCTCTAACATTTTTAGAAATGAAAACTTGATAGAACAAATATAACCTTAGAAATTAGTACGTTTTAGAGAGAGACATTGGATTAGCTTAGGTCAGGAAATACTTTATTGTAAGGTCATGCAGGGTTTACAAAGCAGTAAAAAAGCACTGGCTTAGTAGAAGGACTGTAGGGCTTTTAGAGTATTTAATTATTTGGTTAAATCAACTTAGAACAATGTACAACACAGTAGCTGTGCAGGTGCTATACAGATCCGTGTTAATTGCTGACTCCAACCACACTGTCTGTGCGTTTCTTTCAGACTCTTTTGGTGCAGGGGGGAAAGTAGTGAGGTCAGCCCGTGTGCCCATGGGCGGGTGGGCAGAGGACGGCCAGGCAGCACCACGACACCATGAGCCAGTACCAGAGGAGAGCTCAGAGGATGAAATGCCTCCTCACGTCCACAAGGTGAATGCTGTGTGTGTGTAATTGGATATGGCGATATTGCCTGTGTGCACTTCAAGTAAATGGACTGTTTTGTTCTCTTTCTCTCTCGTCCACTTTAGATTACATAACCAGGCCATGTGAATAAATGTCAGCGTCCCACCCTCCGTAGACAAGCAAACACCCATCCTCGTTCCTCGACTAAACCACAGATGAAGACGGACATGTGCAAGACTGGTGTACCATGATCCCTACAAACACTTAACTAGGGAAATCATCTGGACAGGTTATGACTAATGCTACCATCAACCTTTGAAGATGCTATATGACTTACTATACATGCCTAAACAGGCAGACAGGTTATATGTCTGAATTTGTGTATCAGAAGAGGACCTAGAAGATCAAGTTATTTCCACAATAGCCATTGATACCATCAGAATACACTACAGTCTTTGATCATTTCAAAAGATTACATAATGAAAGTGCATGTGTGATGTAAACCAAAATTGTGAACACATCACCGCTACTGGAGGCATCCTTGGCACATTGCCGCAGTAGAGAAATACACATATACATTTGCCCAAATTGTGATCACAATAATCTAAGTAATGCTTCATTGTTTCCCCTTCTACAAATCAGATGAGCATGAGAAGTTAAATTGTGTTTTGTCTCTCAGACAATAATAGCATTCACCTAAATGTGCTCAGAAGGAAGCTGGTAACACACTGACTTTCATTGTGTGTATCTGTTCTTGTGATAGTAGGAGGCTGTGTGTCCTACCCTGCGCTCTGTATTTCAGCTGGCATTCTGCCTCTTTGCAACAAATATGAAGGCAAATAGTATAAATTCACCGTTAACATTATAGCTTGACATTTTTAAAAGCATATTTTACTCCTGAGGATTTTGTTTTTTATTTATTTTTGCATTTATTGCATTAGAAGGTTCTTTCCCAGGGTCTGGGAATCTGTTTGCACAGATGGCACAGATAGTTGTTTAGAAAATATTTGTACAGCATAGCCCGGTATTCTGCACGCACACATGTACTGTGTAAATAAATGTTATCACATTATTTCACAGAAGTCATTCAGAACATTAAGGTAATCAAATTTACACAATTATAAGGACAACATTTTCGGACGTGTAACCAGAGATTTAACCCAGGTTTTTATTGTCATCATTTTTTTTTTTTCAACAGACTTGCAAAAGGGTGCAACAAACAAACAAGCATGTAATATTGACTCCGGTGCCATACAAAAAGCCCTCAAGCACAAGTGCATGACCATCATCCACACATTCTTCTAAAGAGGTGTAACTCATCCCACAATAAGAATATTGTACATGACCATCCTCCACTTCTGCTTAATCACAGCATGACCTTTTCCTGTTCCCTGTCATTAAGCCTCAGTTCTTTAAAAGAATAATGCACTTTAAGAATTAGTTAACGCAGAGGGTATCACTTGTTTGTATGTGTATGTTTTCATATATATATATTTTGTAATTATTTTATTTATCAAAAGGGACGTGCCATGATGATTGACAGCTGTGAATCAAGGTTGTGTTTGTAAACGTGGGTCGGGATAAAGAATCACTGTCACACTGCTAACCTATGCTGATTATTATATGCTCAAGGATGCAGGGATTCAGTGCGGTAACGTTAGACTTAAAGTGATTGTGTTGGGGATGAGGGGGGTGGTTGTTGTTTGTTTTATAGATCCTGTAAAATACCATTTTGTACAGCTGTAAATTCATCCATTAAATACAATTAAGGCAATGATTTTTTGTGGCGTAGATTGAAAAGGCAACTTGCACGACAAAATGACAGGTACAGGTACAGACCTTATATATACAGTCAATGGTGCAGGTACTGACCTATATATACAGTCAATGGTACAGGTACAGACCTTATATATACAGTCAATGGTGCAGGTAGCAGGAGTATGACCTATATAGTACATGTCAATCGTCACGGTATCTAGACCTTATGAGTACAGTACATGTACGATAGGTCTGGGCTTTACTATACTCAGTCATAGTACGCCAGGCACTGACCTTAATATAGTCAGGAGTTCAATGGGCAGTACTGACTTTATAGACCTATACAGTCCAATGGTACAGGTACAGATTCATATACAGTCAAGTGGGGCAGTACTGACTGAAATATAGCCTGGTGTTTTAACGTAGGTCGCTTAAGCTGGTTGTTACAACGTGCTTTCAGTCCCAGCGTTACTATCATTAGCGGTAGCTTATTGGTAGCTTACTAACGGTACTTGTTGGAGCAAACTTAACACTTATACGCACACAGAGAGCAGCTACGATAGAGTAGAATAGAATCAAGCTATTGATTATAATCCAACCCTTCAAAATATATTCTTATTAATTCTGCTTGAAGACACACCTGAATGGCCGGATAGCTCAGTCGGTGAGCATCAAGACCTTTTAATCGAGGCAGGTCAAATCCCTGTTTCCGAGCGTCGATTTTTTTTTTTTTTTCTCGCCCAATTCGATAGTTTAGTGGCAATATTCAAATCCTCTAATGCGAGGAAGTCGATGCGATTTGTTTTATTCGTCCCATCTCAACTTCCATCAATAAGGAAAACCCCTTTTCCAGTTATAAGTAATGATATTACAACAATTAATAAAATTGACAACCGTAGCGTTCATCCCTAACTGCCTCTGAACTTATCTTAATAAATGCTTTATTGTCGAGGTTAATTATGTTAGCATAGTCTACCAATGGAGGGCGTGTTGGAAACTTATATCAAAGTAACCCATCTTCTCAAAAATAGCTAAGTATGCCGCAAGAC